AAATGATGATGGGAACATATGTACAAATGTGCTTGATACAGTTGATGTATGGATTGTTTTAAGAGTTGTAAGAGCCCCCAATAGAATGATCTTAAAAAACAAAATGAGGGCATGCGTTTCTTGGTGAAATGGCTGGAGAATCAGAGTAGATGGTATAGATACAGGATCTCCAAATGGCTTCTCTTCAATCAGGACTAGAAATCGTTCTGGAAAAAAAGATCTGTCCAAACAGCAAAAATAAGGCTTTGAGATAAGAAAAGCCTTCATATTATGACCTGTGTTCCCCAGTCCATCTTGGTGCTATATATTTACTGCCACCAGTATCTTCATGAAGCATAGCTTTCCTTCCTAACCCTTGCCGTGAAACCTCAGAAAACTGCCAAGGCTGCAAGAACATAGAAACCACACACCTCCACCACTTGTTCTACTCAGACCGCCATTGTCACCAGACTTGGACCCATCTGGTCATCTATATACACTTTCATTTCAAGGGCTGGCCTCGTCTCACTATACTTTAAAAAAAATCATTTTATTAGGTGCTCATACAATTCTTATCACAATTCATACACACATCAATTGTGTAAAGCGCATTTGTACATTCATTGCCCTCATCATTCTCAAAACATTTCCTCTCCACTTAAGGCCCCAGCATTAGGTCCTCATTTTTCCCCTTCCTCCCCGCTCCCCCCTCCCTCGTGAGCCCTTGATAATTTATAAATTATTATTTTGTCATATCTTGCCCTGTCCGACGTCTCCTTTCACCCACTTTTCTGTTGTCCATCCCCCAGGGAGGAGGTCACATATAGTTCCTTGTAATCGGTTCCCTCTTTCCAACACACTCTCCCTCTACCCTCCCAGTATCACCACTCACCCCACTGGTCCTGAAGGGATCATCGCCCTGGATTCCCCCCTGTATTTCCAGTTCCTATCTGTACCAGTGTACATCCTCTGGTCTAGCCAGACTTGCAAGGTAGAATTCGTATCATGATAGTGGGGAGGGGGGAGCATTTAGGAACTAGAGGAAAGTTCTATTTTCATCGTTGCTACATTGCACCCCAACTGGCTCGTCTCCTCCCCGAGACCCCTCTGCAAGGGGATCTCCAGTGGCCTACTAATTGGCTTTGGGTCTCCACTCGGCACTACCCCCATCATTCACTATCTCACTATACTTTTTTAAAAAATCATTTTTTGGGGGGCTCATACAACTCTTATCACAATCCATCCATCCATCCATAGTGTCAAGCACATTTGTATACTTGTTGCCACCATCATTCTCAATCTCACTAAAGTTTTCTTGGAGGCAAGTGAACCCCTTAGGAGGCAATACCAGACAGATGAGAATCTGTCTTAGAAGCACTCAGGGACCAGTACTCCTGTTTCCGATGATTCTTCAATGGGTATTTGTGATCCAGTTTTCACCTAGGAACCCACATGAACAGGAGCCAGGGCAAACAGGCACACAGGATAAATTGCCTTAAAAAGTCAATTAGGGTGGCTGATTATCTCATTTATAGGGAGATTATCAGGTATATAAAATGCTTCACTTTTTGCGCCCTTCTTATTTGATTTATGGGTCATTTATTGCTTAGACAAAGCTACAGAGTGAAAAGTAACGAAGAAAACGAAACTCTGGAATTTTGACAGCACTTCATATAAAACCATTATGGTGGAAGAAACAAAACTAATGGCTGAAAGGATAAATACATTATTTCACAGTTGAACATATAAATGCTACCTTCCTATTCCCTATACAAGTTATTTTAATTCTAACATTTTGGGGGGAAGTGGGGGGCAAAATTATACAGCCAGGCTTAGGAATTCTCCTGTTTTGCTAGATGCCCACAGCCTCAAAATGGCTTCAGAAACACTTTTTAAAGGAAACCCTGAATATCTTATACCACTTTTATGCCACGCAACACCACTGTTCAAAAAGCAGTGATTAAATATTATCTCTATTTTATAGTTGGAGAAAAGGCAAAGAAGTTAATGACTTATGCCAGGTTACATAATGTGTCAGTGACAGGGTTGTTATTATTTTTAAAAACAGGCCTTGTGACATCCCTGCCCTACATGCTTTTCATGAACCTGATCCTTCTCAATGATACTATGAAGTTCTTATTATTATTACTTATAAATCAAAAGAACAATAATTACAATGGTGCCTACCATTTATCAAGACCTAACTGTGTGTCAGGCACCATGCTAAATCCTTTAAATAATCTCTTTTAATGCTGGTAAATAACCCTGTGAGGTAAGATTTGTCATTATCCCCTTTTCATAGGTATGATAAACATGGCTTAAAGAAGTAAATAACTTGCACAGGGTCACCCAGCTAGTGGGTGACTGAGTTGTGATTCAAACCCAAACCAAGCCTATTCCCATAGCTTATGCTCCTAAAGCACTCCCTAGACTAAGAAACTTAATGATTTACAATATACTTCACTTGGGAAGAAAACGAACTCCTGATACAGTAACATTAAAAATTAATCAAAACAATTTATAATAGTGAAACTGGTGCAAAGTTCTGAAGTCTTCTTCACAAATGGGTCCAACTGAAGTAAATCTCTACTGGTTATCAGTACCGCCAGACATGTGCTATTGCTTCCTTTAAAACTAGACATTGCATGTTGTGGTGGTTACATAGTTTTAGGTCAACTGAGATACACGAAAGTGTAGGGGTGGTATCCAACCTGTCAATCAGTCTTGATGGACGGTGCCTCTTTGAGGGCCCTGGGAACCTCTCTCTCCCTCTGCCTTCATTTTTCCTGCTCCCTGACCCCTGAGAGTTGCTGAGTCCTGTGATGGATGTTTCCACAGACTTTGGATTCATGTGACTATGCACCCACCGTCTTGTGATCTTCCTGCATTCCAGATCATTACATGTGGTTGCCATGAGTCTGAAGAGGGACTTATGGACTAGTATTGGATTTAAGGACTTGAGTTGGACTGGGCTGAGATGCTTTCTTGGTATACAATTACTCCTTGATATAAAGCTCTTTCTTACTATGAGTATCACTGGATTTGTTTCTTTAGTCAGCCGACCTAAAATACATGTGTTTATGTCTTTAAAAATTAGGTATCAGGTGGAACGGGGGAACCGATTACAAGCATCTACATACAACCTCCTCCCTGGGGGAGGGACAACAGAAAAGTGGGTGAAGGGAGACGTTGGACAGTGCAAGATATGACAAAATAATAATTTATAAATTATCAAGGGTTCATGAGGGAGGGGAAAAATGAGGACCTGATGCCAGTGGCTTAAGTGGAGAGCAAATGTTTTGAGAATGATGAGGGCAATGAACGTACAAATGTGCTTTACACAATTGATGTATGTATGGATTGTGATAAGAGTTGTATGAGCCCCTAATGATTTTTTTTTTAAGTTAGGTATCAAAGCGGCTCCTGTTCTAACAAGAGCAGCATACCAAGTGACAAAATAATAGTAACAAGTCGGGATATAGAAGTATTTTCCAGGAAAGTCCATAATGCCAAGGAATGAATACTAGGGCTGTAAGGGTTACAGTACAACCATTTTCAAGTAAATAGCATTCTTTCTATTTGAATTTGCTGTTAAGGACTAGGAAATAAAAGCACACTGTTCTGGTTCTGGGGGGGAAATATCAGCACACCATAGAAAATGAGAAGTAGCAAATAAAAATCACATTGGAAAAAAAAAGGCCAATTTGGACTGCTAGCTACAGTTTGGCATGGGGAAGATAAGCATTTTCACAGTAAAGGTCTCACTGTAACAAAAACAGTCCGACCTCGGAATGCTCATTTATACCAGTTATCAATCCTAGCTAGGCTTTGGGACTATTTCCGATTCTAAAGTAAATCTCAAAAGTTATCTTGGTATTCATATTTCTTCATGCTGCATTTTTCTGATACTGAACCCACTGCCATTGTGTCGACTCCGGCTGATTGCATCCCTACAGGAGAGAGTAGAACTGCCCCACAGTGCTTCGGAAGCTGGAATTTTTATGTACATAGACTGTCACGCCTTTTTTCTGTGGAGTGGCTGATAGGCTCTAGCCACTGCTGCTCTCCTGAGCTGCGGAGGGCTTTCACCACTGAGTCACTAGGGCTTGCTTTTTTTAACACTACAGGACTGCTGTTCAAAAGAAATTGTTCCTGAGCATCAAGATGATAGCCCCTATCTTCCCACCACCGTTTCACCTAGTGGCCATCAGCTCAGGTTTTCTGTGAAATACGACATTACTCAGTGCCTAAGACTGTCCACAGATGTTCTCTACCAAACTCATCCATGAAATAATCCAACACTGGAGACAGAAGTTACTGAAGGTACAGTTTCGGGTGTACGTAACAATAAAGAGCTTAATTGAGAAAAATGAAAATAAACCTTTCATTTAATTGAGTGCTCCCAAATCAACCATAATGTGTCACGAATGCCAAGAGAGATGACATTATTTTGCCAATAGAGCAATATAATTAATACCTTGCCAATCTGGTTTCTGGTAGTGAAGAGAACAGGGACGTTATTTTAGCTGGCTTCAGAACGATGCCTGTGAAATTCACTGAAAGACGCCCAAAGTCATAAATGCTACAGTACATAGCGGGTCCACAGGGAAACACCATGGTCGTCGGCGAGGACTAACATTTTCCTCCTTAACATTTTCACTTATCAGAACATGAGTTGTTTTATGATGGAAGGTGCAAACAAATCAGAACTTAACCCTCTGAAATATACCTGAATGAAGACCTTAGCACACAAAACACTCAAGTTAAGCAAAGCGCTCATTCTCTAAGTAAACACCGCCTCCAAAAAGTTAATGCTCTCTGGAGAAAATACTGAAAAAGATTCATTCCTTTTTAGTTGGGTAGTGAATACGTTAAACCCAGATTTACTTTTGCTGGTTCAGAGATTAAAAAAAAAAGACTGCAAGTTAAAATTATACCCAGTTAAATAATACAACATACTCTCTGAAATAAGCAATTTCCTCCTTAATTTTTATCCTTGAGAGGCAGAAATACCAACTTACCAGTTTTGTGCCTCTTTTTATTTCCTTTAGGACATCTTCAATAGAAAATCCACCAAGACTCTCATTATCGGAGTGTGATGATACCAAAGCAGATGAAAAGAGCTATAAATTACATCAAAAAAGAAAATTACGGTTCACACCTGAATAAATCATTGTAAAACAGTGAATACGATGGCTAAAATTTAAAGGGCATATTCTAGTTAAAACAGTATAGAACTAGTGACAAATAATTTCTTAAAACGTAACTGAGGTTTTGAGGACTCAGGAATGGCTATTAAGATTTCAGTGCGTCAGGTCTTCTGGTTGCTGCCAGCATACTTACCATACATTTATGGTGTGCTGCCACCTTCTGGTTTTCAGATACTAGTAATTGTCCACATTCCTTGTCTCTATTTGACTTACAAAAGCCACATTTGCGCTGTCTTGTAGGCCCCCTTTTCTGTTCAACTGAGCTTGACATGATTTTAAAATTGCCTTTAGAATGCCACTTTATCAAAAAATGCTACAGAGAATAAAAAAGGGTAACAAAAGAGTTAATTTCACTTGAAAACCAGTTTATACATATTCATATAAGTTGTTTAATAATTGGCCTAGGTTTTAATAGAGATTTCTAAATGGTTACTTATTACAAACAAGTTAATATTAAAACCTAAACTGATGTCATAAGAAAAAGTATATAATTTTTTTTAAACTAAAGTACTGGAAAAAATGAATTGTTCTCAAATGAGGGGAAATGTGAAACAATTGGAAGCATTTTTATGTGGCTAAGTGAAAAATGTACAGTGTATGATAGTACATCATCATCTGCTGATAAGATAGAAAATATTTTCCATGCATAATTAGGTTCCCCCTCAAGGAGGCAAAGAAAGATTTGTCTAACAGCAGAGCCAAGACTATTTAAAACACTATACAATATCCAGACTGAAAATCCAGAGAGAACAGAATTCTCTAACTGCACAATTTCTTAATGTTCACATATTGAAATATATTAACAAAGTGAAAATAAATGTATTTGTGACTGTGTAACTTTAAAATTAACTTTCAAGTTTAAATATATCATGTATCTATGTTTATTAAAATTTTTGCTTCTCTACTGCATTTTCAAGTTAAGAAAAAAATTAAGGTTCTAATAATAACCCAATAAAAACAGAGGTGATGATAAAATATCTATGCTATCTGATGCTAAGATTTACTCCACATTTTTGCCTTTGAAAGTTGCAAACTGATAGTGATCTTCCAAATGCAATAACTTACATGCTTAAATTAGGAATATGGTGTAAATGAAAGAAATCTTCTGAATGACACTTAAACTAGTGAAATTACAGTTACTGGTAGTATATAGTCAAACAAAGGAAGAAAAGCTCTAACATGGAAGATTTCAGATTTCTATCATCACTCTCAACATGGGTTCTTCAGACTACTAAACAAACACCCTTAAAATCAGTCATTTGATTTGGGAGGCACCCCAAATTAACAGAGCTACACAGCTCAAGGACTCACAACACACATTGCAAACAAAATCTTGAATAGGTGCTTTAAAATTAATCAATGGAATTATTTGCCCATTCGGATACATTCAAACACATTTACATAACACAGTTGAAAAAAACTGACTTCCAAACACTACATTGTAGATTTTTTTTCTTTTCCTTTCTTTTTTTACATTGTAGCTTTCTGCGAAGCACTTGTTCACCAACAAGAACAGCAGTGGCTGCGTGCCAGCAAGGTGATTTTCACAAACCATTGCACATTCTTCACTATAAAAACTCAGATGTATAGTCAGCATTTGAAGTGAAGTCAAAATGCAGCTGTCTTCTCATCTATGCATACCTCAGTTTTCCTTCTTAACTGGAAACTTCAAAGGCCCTGAGAGTTTCTGTTTTGATGAGTTTAAACAACTCTCAGTGCTAACTACAATTTTAAATACCTCCATCTCTCAAAAGGCACGGTATACTTTGTAATGGTGTGGTATTCATAGCACTGGCCCTAAACTGGGAAACTGAAAATAACCAGCAAATGCTTTTAGGATGGAAGGGAAAGAAAACACACACACACACACACACACACACACACACACAAAACAAAGAAACAAAAGGGGAAGTTTGTTTGCATTTGCTCAGGCAAGTATGTGTTCAGCTGCTTTATTAAGAGTACAGCTACCAGAATCTCCAGCATCAACTATGCAAAATATCAAAATTCATAAATAGGGCAAAAACTTGCTATCTGAAATCCAAATTAGTTTTCTTTGCAGCTGTGCAAAAAAATAGCACTTTAAACCCACTGTAACACATCAGACATTTCCCCTGGTCAGCCGGGCCAGTTGAAAGGATGGCACGCTATAAAATCTCATCTGTGCAAGCATCCTTACAGCAGCCCAGCGCTGGCTAGGAAAACGGTATCAGCCCAAGACAATTCCTAGAGAAGAAAAGAACGTTTTACTCCTCAAAATCATTCTGAAAGGAGTAGCTCCAAAAAAATCTATCCACATGCAATTAATTCTGCCTCTTTCCATTTATAAACAGGTACACTGCCTTCTCCTAATTTTGAGAACCTACCAAAGACCCCCCCAAAATCCACAAGGGAGCTGAGGGATACTTTATTTGACACACAACCATACTGTGGTGTCTTTTTTCCATAAGCAGTTGAAATTTCATATGTAAATTGAATCGAGCCATGCACAAAAGGTGCACCAAACCAATGAAAAACTTTCCCCAATGTGCAATGATGAAATGGATTTTTCCACTGAAATCAAAATAACGCATCTACGCATATCTTTCTAGAAAAATCTTTAAAAAACATTTTACAGCCTCCTTGTAAAATGAAGTGCAGAACATCATGGAAACAATGACTCTGTAGAAAGGTCTTTATCATAAAAGACAGATTTTTATCTAGTACTGTCTGTTATATTTGTGGTCTCTAGCAAAGCGGAATAAGGGCATTCCAAGGACCAATGTAAAGGGGCTTCCAAACGATCTACAGTGATGCTGTCTTACTTTTAGTCTAAAAGGCAAGCAGAGATCAAAGTTGGATGCTTTTCCCCAACAAGGAAGCCTTTTCCTTAAAGGAACCTAAAACATCCACGTTACAGAGCAGAAATAAAGAGGCCAAGATAACAGCGTGGGGAGAATTTAAATGTCTTTAGAAAAGAAACACACAATTAAAAAATTAAAAAACAACAACCATAAAAGCCAGATTCGTTCTGCGGCAGCAGACCACGCATTTCTGATTTTCCAAGATGCCCTGCAGCACCAAGGTAGAAAGACCCTGAAACACTAAGGCGAGTCCTCAAGGGCCAACTCAAGAGCTCATTCCATGCCTGGTAACTGGAAGATCATTTTCCCAGAAAAACAAAAACCAATGAAACAAATACCACCACCCCACCACCCCCCTGCAGTTCCGGAAATTAAAAAAAAAAAATTCCACATTCCAGCCGGCTGAAACCTCCAGATCCAAGTCTAGCAGGGAGATCGCCCCAAGAAGTCGGATTTCTGGCAGGAAAGTTCCAGCGAGAGCGGGAGCCCCAGCGAGAGAGGGACCGGAAGGGCACCTGAATTCGGTGGCACGATAAGATTACATGCTTTCGCACTGCTTTGGGCGCTTCTTCACGAGGAAACTGAAGGAATCTTCCAGTTGTTGCAAAGCCCACGGCAGATGACGATTTGGACCGGGAGGGCAGGAGCCCTGAGGTTCCTTCGGACGCCGGGGAGAACAGCTTCCCCCCCCCCTCAAAAAAAAGTCGAGGCGTAATCAACTTGGGCCCATTTAGAATCTCAAAAGGAACCGAAATGTCCAACGGCTCACAAAGCCTGGCGTCGCTCCTCAGACCAGGGGACGTCCCCGGGGGCGCCTGGGAGCCCCTCCGTTATTTATCCGCCCCCGCAGCGCAGGCAGGGGGGAAACTCGCAAAACTCTCTCCCGCTCCAACACTGGGCTCCTCAGTCTCAGTCAGGGGCGCCTGGGGGTCCTCTGCCCCGAGCCTCCGGAACCCGGGAAAGCTCCCGGCCTCGGCTCGCCCCCCGCCCCCGCCCCCATCTTCCCCTCAGGAGTTCGCCCTGGAATTGGCTTCCCTTTCAGCTTCGCCCCAGAACCTCAGTGGCACCCCGCACACATTCCCCCCCCCCAGGAGTTTTTTCCTCATTCCGTCAAGCTACCCCTTCGGCCACCCGAACGACGAGGACTCTCCCTCCTTCCCAAATATGTCTTGAGCGAAACGCAGACGACGACCCCCAAACCTTGTTTTCCCTCCCCCTTGTTTCTAGAAAAAAAAAATAACGAAGGTTGCGCCCCCTCCCCCGAAGTCCAGGCGGGAGGGCGCCGCTCCCCCGGCCGCCTCCAGAGCACTTTCTCAGCCGCTCCCCTCCCAGCCCGGAGCCGCCGAGCGGCGCTTGGGGGTCCCTGACAATAAAGCCAGACCACCAAGAGTCCCCCTCACAACGGGCAGGGGCGGCGGCCTGGCCACCGCCATCCTTGTCTTCTCCCGCCGGGCAGAGAACGGGGGGCCCCGGGGTTCTGAGGGGACTCACCGGCGGGGCCCAGGGGCGGGCGGCGGGAGGGGAGCGCCAATGAAGGGAAAGAGAAAGCCGTCGGCCCGGTTCTCCGGCAGCGCCTGGGAGTGGGGTACTGTCGCCGGAGGTTGTTTCCTTTCATTCGAGGAGACGGGCTCGCCGAGCGCCCTTACGTCGCCCCACCCCCCACCCCCCTGGCACGCACGCGTTCCACCAAGCGTTGGTACGTCCCGAGCGCGCCGCGGGCCCAGATTGGCAGCCGAGAGCGGGCAGCTGAAGCCGCCGCGGCAAGACGCATGTGCGGGGGGCTGCCCCCGGTACGGATCGGGGCGGTAGGCCCCGCCTCTGGCTCGCGCGCGGACCTGCTAGTCTCCGCTCGGCCGCTCCGCCGAGCGTTTGAGGGCAAGATCGCAGGAGCCCGAGCGAGCGATTCGCAGATTTCCCTGTGGGTATTGGGCGGAGGAGGGGCAGGGACGAGCACCGTGGGACGGGGGCCCTGGATCAGACTGCTTTCCTGCAGAGCGTCCAGCGCCTAGGCCTGGTCCCTCGCACTTGTTCGCCGAGGCCTCTCTACATCCATTCTTTTCATTGTACTCTCGTGGCATCCCTTGGAGCTCAGAGCTCCCTCATCCTCCGTTGACTGCCAGGCAAGACCAAGACGCTCCGACAGCCTCCATTTCAATCCTTGGGCGGAACCCTTTCAGCCTCTGTCCCTCATTCGATTTGGACTTTTTGTCGTTTTTAAAATGGGCATTGAATGAGTAGCTGGCGGGCTAAGAGCAAGGAAGAAATCAGTGAAATAAGTCAAGCATGGACGGGAGTCCCTGTCATGTAACTGTCCTCCTCTCTAAATGCGGGGCTTATTCAGAAAGGGCCATTGATTTTCCCTCCCAGGCCGCACAAACCTGCCACCTGAACGAGAGCTTAGGTCTTTGCTGAATGGAGCCAGCCGGCTTGGGTTTGAATTCGAGCTCGATGACCTTGAACACCATTGCTTTACCTCCCTGTGCCTCGATTTCATCACGTCCAAAATAGAGATGATCGTAGGACCTGTCTCGTCTTATAGGGTGATGGTGAGAGACAAATGAGCTGTTGTAATTCCCACAGAAATACTGCCCTCTGCAAGAATCATCCTTGGTCATTTTCTATCTGGCTTATAGACTGCAAACCAGTCTTTTTATGTTCAAACACAAACAACAACAAAACGTAGAGATGCTCTTCAAGTATCTGTTCTTCTGGCAGTCCGGGTAGGTTTCCGCCTTAGGCCCAAAGCTGTTTTGCATAGTGTGTCCTCATTGCAACCCCCTTCCCCGCCTTTGATGCAAACGCCACGTCCTCAAACAAGTACCGGATTTTTAAAAGTTGGACAAACCAGTCATATAAAATGGCTCTGGGCGATGGCCTTTCACCCATGTCCTGTGCCACCTATGAGAGTAACCAGAGGCCGAGGCAGTGTGTTTGAGAACAGAGTCTAGACCTGGATGCCCCAGCATTATTTTTCTCCAGGTTTTTATATAATGATCCATGTCAGGTTGGAACGGATGGCTGTGTGACAAAATGTGGTACCTCCCGGTGACCCCCATTTTGCTAGCTTTTCCCACCCCTCTCCTTTCACCCATCCATTCATTTCCACCGAACTCGATTCAATAAACATTTTCAGATCTGCTAAGTTCCAAACACAATACCACTCCGTGTCTGAAAGAGGAGATGGACATGCAAATAAACACAGTATGAGGTGAGAAGTGCTATATGGGGGTGAGGTGGGGTGCCTCGTGCAGACATCCTCGGCCTAGAACGTAGTCAGTTTTCTGCTGAAGTACAGTACAGTGGCCCAGAAGACACAGCGCTTGCCCTCCACTGTCTGCAGTTAGGGCAGTGGTTCTCAACCTTCCTAATGCTGCGACCCTTTCATACAGTTCCTCATGTTGTGGTGACCCCCGACCATAAAATTATTTTCGTTTCCACTTCATAACTGCCATTTTGTTATTGTTACGAATCGTCATGTAATTATCTGATATGCAGGATGTAATTTTCATTGTTACAAGTTGAACATCATTAAAGCGATGTGATTAATCACATACACACAAAAAAAGAGGAAAAGACAAATATAAGCGTGGAACCAAAAACTCTAGCCAAACTCTTTGCCATCAAGTCTGTTCCGATTCATAGTAACCCTACAGAACAGGCTAGAGGCCCCTGTGGAAAAGCTTTCTTCAGCTTTCTCCTACGGAGCAGCTGGTGGTTTCGAACTGCTGACCAGGGCTCCTGAGAGGTAGAAAAGAGAGTACAAGACAGGGAATGAGATCATGGACGCCTGTTACTTTCAGGCCCCAGTCGGTTGCCATCGAGTCAACTCCACAGTGGTGACTTCTTCGTTTCATTGACCCCCGAACTTTTTTGAGCACCCCATGCAAACTCTCGAGCTTTGTCTTTTCTATAGTTGCAGTAAGTAAGCTTGGGCCAAGCCAAACCCACCGTCGTCCAGTGGCTTCTGATGCAGGGAGATCCCATAGGACAGAGTAGAACTGTCCCCATAAGGTTTCCAGGGCTCTCCAGCTTCAGGGTCACCGAGTCGGCATCGACTCGATGGCAGAGAGTTTGGTTTGGTTAGTTGGAAACCTTTCGGAGAGCAGGCTGAATGGAGCACCAGCTTCGGGGTGAGCCGCCCTTTGCCTCACTGCTCTGCCTCAGGTGTGGTAGCCAGTCCCAATTAGCAGGACGGATCAACTCAGCCCTGGGATTTCCAGGGCTGCAGAAAGGAGTCAAGATTGAGATAACAACCTCTTAACAATGCCTGAGGATGTGTGTAGCCTGTGATCTGGTAATCTCTTCAGGCACACCAGGACCCCCACCAACACTTTCTCTATCTTTTCCTTCAGGCTCCAGATATCCCTTTTAAGACCTCACACTCACCAAAGGCCAGCATTTCCTGACGTTCTGGGCTGAGGAAAGGGCTATTCGGGCTTTATCTCCACTTTATCTTGTACATGCATTCCCCAGAGCTCAGACAAAGTTGTTTGTCCTGATTCCTACAGCTAAATTGGTGCACCGAAGAACACCCCGTCCGAGCTCTGGACCGAGTCTTGGGGCTCGTAGTGAAGCATTCAGCTGCTAACCACAAAATCGACTTCTGTCCAGTGACCGTCTTGTCTCACACTGTCCGACGTCTCCCTTCACCCACTTTTCTGTTGTCCGTCCTCCAGGGAGGGGGTTATACGTAGATCCTTGTAATGGGTTCGCCCCAAATAATAATAATTTATAAATCATCAAGGGTTCATGAGGGAGGGGGCAGCGGGGAGTGAGAGGCAAAAATGAGGAGCTAATGATGCCAGGGCTCAAGGAGAGGGAAGGTTTTGAGCATGATGAGGGCAATAAATGTGCAAATGTGCTTGACACACTGAATGGATGGATGGATTGTGATAAGAGTTGTATGAGCCCCCAATAAAATGACTAAAGGATACATATCTAGGGATAAACATAGATATGTATATATGTAAATATGTACCTATATAGATTAAAATTAAAAAAAGAGGTCGCTGAGAGTCAGCATCACCTGGATGGCTGGGAGTTGTTTTTGATTTTCTACTTCCATACATAGTTACAGTCTCAGAAACTCACAAGGGTACTTTGAGCCCCGGCCTACAGGGTTCCTATGAGTCGGTATCCGCTCCATGGCAGTGAGCTTCTTTGTGGTTTTGTCTTTTTGTTGTTATTTCCCTTACCTCCTTAACGCCTCTGACACAGGTTTCCCTTCTCACTTCATAAGGCAGGCTTTCATCTCAACTAAGAGCCCTGGTGGCACAGTGGTGGTGCATTGAACTGCTAACCTCCAGGTGAGCAGTTTGAAACCACCTGCCGCCCCATGGGGGAAAGACGAAGTTTTCTATTCCTGTAAAGAGTGACAGTCTCAGAAACTCACAAGAGGGCCGGTCTACCCTGTCCTGTAAGGTCAATCCCCACCTAGACTGAGTCCTAGACCCTCTGCTGGCCTGGTCCTCTTCCCGCCCCACGGTTCTTAACAATTTGCAAGTCAGAATTCACTTGAAGAGCTTCTTGAAAATGTAGAGATTTGGTTCTTTTGGGGTGGAGGCGGTTGGGGTGTGTGTGTGTGTGTGTGTGTGTGACCGCTGAACATTCTGAAGGTCTGGGTATAGGAATCCACCTTCTTTAAATCCATAGGAGATACTGGATGCTGAGAAATATTTGTTGCGAACCACACATAAGAAAGTGCCTTATGTACTTCTCCTTTTTGGAGAATTGTTAAAAATTCTTGATTCTCACTGCCCTGTAAACAACTGCTTAGCAACTGCATCTGCTTTGCATAGATCAGCCCTGCCTTTGACCTCAAATCACTAAATCCAGAGCAAACAAATTCAGCATCCACAGAACTGAAAAACAACTTCCTTCCCCATCTTAAGGGTTTCTGTATAAAACACCACTAATATTTATACTCCTGCCTAAATTAAATGCTAAACTCACCTACATTTCTGTGACCTCGCTTTAAAAAAATCATTTTATTGGGGGCTCGTACAACTCTTATCACAATCCATACATACATCCGTGGTGTCAAGCACATTTGTACATTTGTTCTCATCATCATTCTCAAAACATTTGCTTTCTACGTGAGCCCTTGGTGTCAACTACTCATTTCCCCCCTCTCTCTCCCACACTCCCAAACCCTTGATAATTCATAAATTATTATTGTTTTGTCATGTCTTACACTGATGTTTCCCTTCACCCACTTTTCTGTTGTCCATCCTCCCAGGGAAGGGATATATGTAGATCCTTGTAATGGGTTCCCTCTGTCTACCCCACCTTTCCTCCACCCTCCCGATATCGTCACTCTCACTAATGGTCCTGATGGATTCATCTGTCCTGGATTCCCTGTGTTTCCAGTTCCTATCTGTACCAGTGTACATCCTCTGGTCTAGCCGGATTGGTAAAGTAGAATTGGGATCATGATAGTGGGGGGGGAGGAAGCATTAAAGAACTAGAGGAAAAAATGGGGAGCTGATGCCAGGGGCTTAAGTGGAGAGCAAATGTTTTGAGAATGATGAGGGCAATGAATGCATAAATGTGCTTTACACAATTGATGTATGTATGGATTGTGATAAGAGTTATATGAGCCCCTAATAAAATGAT